CCTCATTGAAGAGTTTAAACAGTTGTGGCAGCAGTTCCTCTCTAAATGTCTTGTAGAACTCAGCAGTGAAACCATCAGGACCCAGGCTTTTCTTAGTAAATTTTAAATTACATTTTCAAATTGATATTGGGTTGTTTAGAAATTTTTGGTCATATTCCTTCAACTTTGGTAATTCATATGTATCTAGGAATCTGTCCATGTCTTTTGTATTTTCCTTGTTATTGGAAAATAACAATATATAGGTTCTCAAAGTAGGTATTGATGATCCTCTGTATTTCTCCTGCGTCCATTGTAATTTTACCCTTTTCATTCCTAATTGCATGGATTTGGCCTTTTCTTTCTTTCCTTTTTTTATTTTATTTTATTTTATTTTATTTTATTTTATTTTATTTTATTTTATTTTTATGAGATTGGCTAAGGATTTGATAGTTTTGTTTATTTTTTTGAAGAACCAACTCTTGGCCTCATTGATTTTTTTTTTTTGTATTGTTTTTTTAGTCTCCATTGCATTGATTTCTGCCCTGATCTTTGTAATTTCCTCCCTTGTCTGAGCTTTGGGTTTGTTTTGCTCTTCTTTTTCTAGAAGCTTCAGGTTCAGCATTAGGTTATGTATGAGCTCACTCTGTTTTCCTAATATGAGTATTCACTGCTAGGAATTTCTCTCATAAGACTGCTTTCATTGTGTCCCATAGATTCCAGTATATTGTATTGTCATTGTCATTTTATTGTAGGAACTGTCTGATTTCTTCTTTAATTTCCTCTGTGACGTGTGTTGTTCAATTTCCATATGTCTGTGAAATTGTGGTTTCTTTTACTATTGATCTCCAGTTTCATTACTCTACAGTCTGATAATATACAGAGGATCACTTCAATCCTTTGCATTTACTTAAACATGATCTGTGAGTGAGTATGTGGTCTATTTTGGAGAATAATCCATGTGCAGCTGAAAAGAATGTGTATTATGATTCTGTGGGGTGGGACACTCTGTAAACATCTGTTAAGTTCATTTGTTCAAGAGTTTGATTGAGTTCTAGTATTTTGTTGGTTATTTTTTGTCTAGTTGATCTTTTCTATTTGTGAAAGTGAGATATTGACATCCCCCACTACTATGGTATTAGTATTTTTTTGATTTTTCATGTCCATTAATGTTTGTTTTATATAGTTGGGTGCACTAGTGTTTGGTGTATATATATATCAGTAATTGTCATCTCTTCCTCTTGGGTTGTTCCTTTTACAAGGATGTGTAGTTATCTTCTTTATCTCTCTTAATCAGTGTGGGTTTGAAATCCACTTGATCTGCAAAGAGGATAGCTACTCCTGCTTTTGTGTGGGGGAGGGGCTCCTGTTGTATGGAGTATTGTTTTCCACCCTTTAACTTTTAGTCATGAGTTTGTTTTTTAGATAAGTAAGGGGCCAGGGATTTAGCTCAATGGTTCTGCTGCCTCTCTTGCAAGAGCAAGGTCCCGAGTTTGTTCCCTGGTACCAGAAAAAGAGAGAGAGAGAGAGAGAGAGAGAGAGAGAGAGAGAAAAGTAAAGTGTATTTCTTCTATGAAGCATATTGTTGAATCTTGCTTCTTGACCCATTCTGCCAGTCTGTTTCTTTTGATTGTTGAACTGAGACCATTAACATTGATGGTTATAACTGATATGAATTGATTTATCCTTGTCGTGACTTTTTCTTTTTGTGGATTCTTCCCCTTTGCATTTAATTTCTTGTTGTACTTGGTGGATTCATTCTACTGGGCTCCTTGGGGTTATCATCCTCATTGTCTTTTCCTAGGATATTGTTTAAAACTTTTTGGAGTCCTGGTTTGGTATTCATGAAGTTCCTAAGGCACTCTTTGTCATAAAAGTACCCTATTTCTCCAGGTTTTTTGTTGTTGTTGTTGTTTTTGTTTTGTTTTGTTTTGGAGACAGTGTCTCACTATGTAGTTGAGACTGACCTGGAACTCGCTGAGTGGCCCAGGCTGGTCTCCAACTCACAGTGATCCTCCTGCCTCAGCCTCCTGAGTGCTGGGATTATAGGCATGCACCACCACATCCAGCTTTTCCATCAGTTTTGAAAGATAGTTTTGCAGGGTACATCAATCTGGGTTGGAGGTTGTTTTCCTTTGGGGCTTGAAATAAGTCACTGCAAGTTCTTCTTGCCTGGAGAGTTTGTGTTGAGAAGTCTGCTGTGATTCTGATGGGCTTTCCTTTGTATGTGATTTATTTTGTTTTCTCTAGCTGCTTATCGAATTTTGTTCTTCTGTTGACTTTCTGGAATCTTAACTCTCATATCCCTATGTGTAGATTTTTTTTTTATCACAGCTGGTTGGAGTCCTATATGCTTCACTTTATCTGTATGTCAATTTCTTTTCCCCTACTTCAGGTTTTCTGCCCTTACTTCTGTGAACAATTTGTTGTTGTTCTTTTTTTTCAAATGTCAACTGTACACTCTCCTTTTTCTTCATTGACTCTGATCAGCCTTATGTTATTCTTCTTTACATCATCTATTAGCTGCTGGATTGATTTCTCATGGTTCCTTACTGTTTTTAAGAAATGTTTCTTTTCCTAATCACTAATTGCAATCCTGTCTCCTATATCTTAACTTTTGTCCTTGCATTGGCTCATTCTGATGCATAAACTTTCAATGCAGTTTTTAATCTCATGGAAATCTGTTTGCATCTGTTTTATGGATTTCATTTGTTACCTTTGTTGGGATTCCATCATGTTCCTCAGCTCCTCTATTTTTTTTTAAACTGTGCCCTCTCTAGATTTATTAATCATGTCTAGCCCTATGGGCATAATCTCTGCTGCTATTTGAGAAATTGTTTCTGATTTCATTTTTCCCAGGTCCTCTTTCATTGCCAGTTCAGGGAGTCCAGGTAGTTGAGTATCAGATTGTTCTATCTCATTGCCCTTTGGGGTTGCCTTAGGTGATCTGGAAGTCTGGTTTTGAGACTTGTTTATGTGTCTTCTCATTTCAGCAGATGCAGCCTACTGTGCGTTTGTTGAGGCAACTTTTTGCTCATGCAGTGGTCTTCAATTCTCAGCAAGCCACCAAGCAGCCTTTTCTCTGCTGCTCACCAGTATACCAATTACTGGGTTCAGAATAGTGGCCTTCTGGATCCCTGAGCTGACCTGTTGACTAGGCAGGCTTCTGGCTGGGGCCTGTGCACACTTTGGATGGTATCTAGGTATGCCTCTCGCTGGGGTCACTATGTAGCTGTTGTCTGGGAGGGACTTTTGCTGGGGGCTTGCAACCCAGTTCCTTTTGTCTGTGTGGGCTTCTTGCTAGGGTCTCCATGCACTTATTAGTGGTATCAGGGTGAGCCTCTGGCTGTTGCTTGTGTGCCTGGGTAGCTTTTTTCCAGGTAGGCCATTTGCCATGGCCTTTGTGCCCAAGCCTCTGAGGTCGGGGTGGAGCCCTGGCTGGGATCTGCCTGCAGCCAAGGCCCTCTGATCCACACAGCTGCTCCTCTGGTGATCTGTGCGCACTTACTGATGGTATAGTCAGAGTCTGGCTGAAGCTTGTGCACCTGTGTGGCTCTTTTGTGGGTGGGCCTATGGCCTGGGCGGGTGTGCCAGAGCCTCTGGGGTCAGGGCGGAGCCCTGGCTGGGCTCTACCTGGAGCTGTGCTTCTCTGGTCCACACAGCTGCTCCTTCGGATCTGCGCACACTTACTGATGGTGTGGTGGGCCTCTCAAAACCAAGGATTTTTTAAAAAGCTGTCTAAAAGATAACTATCAGGGTAAAGTTACTATTACATTAAAGAGGTCACCCAGTTGGTCTGACTCTCTTACTCTGGAAGGGCTCTGACTAGGATCAGAAGACAAACAGAACTCCTCCCTGTGGAGGGACCATCCTGTGATACATTTCACTGAGTGTGCCACATTCCACTGCATCTCTGTGTTTTGGAAATAAGAGCAGAGACTAAAAGATGTTTTGGTGTTTCAAGACTGTCTCACCCTCCATGCCCAACTCACCGCCAGAGAATTTACATACATTTACGTTTTTATTTTTTAATAAATTCTAACTCCCTCACTTACTCCTGAAGTGAAGGTAATACAGAATCATAACAAGCACAAAGGACCCTGTTGGACCCCCATTTCAATAAAATAGTCATTCAGATTTTGTTGGCATTCTTCTTTTTTAAAAAGTATCATAGTAACAGTCCTTGTATGATACAATGTGGGAGCACTGGTTTACTTGGGAGAGGGCCTGGTCCTCCCTCTGGCATCAAGTGGCCATGTGACCATGAACAGGCAGCTATGGCTCAGGGAAAGGGTGGATGAATCAAATGTGTCTCATGTTCCTTCCACTAGAATTGAGGCATCAGAAGAGTATTTGTTCTTGATCATGTAGAGAGTTTACTTGTTTGTTCATATTTATAAAACATGACTCCCAGAAGTAAGTGAGGGGTGTGTGACTGGATTTGGTGGTGATGGTAGAATTTAAATTGAAGGGGTCAGCACTGTGCCAATTGACAATATTACCTCTACCCTCCAGTGTGAATGTAAATAAGCATAGTTTCTAAGGAGGCTCAGAGGAACCTGAGAAATAGGTTCATTTGCCCTGGATCAAGATGTTGGTGGTCCAGCCCTCAATTGAAAGGTTTGTTAAGTAATGCATGATCAAATTACTCTCTTGCAAGAGAAGGTACTGCTGCCCTCAAATGTCCTCTCACTAGCCTTGTTAGAACTCTCAGAGGAACTTCTTAAGTTTCAACAATCTCTGGATATGTTTGTTCTACAGTAGGCTTGATGTGGAGGTGGAGTACCTACAACACACAGACACTGCTGGCTGCAGAGTGCCCAGCAGACCAGAGAAGACACAGCCTTCACCACATCCTTAAAGTTGGCCTATGAATTGTTTTTGTTTCATATCTTAAAAAATAAATAAGTAAACAAACTCCATGCATTCCTGTATAGTTTGCCTAATAAATTAATTTTGTTTTATACATGAGAAGTTAGTTCCCTGGAATGGCTTTGACACTGTCTTCTGCTTCTCTCAAACAGAGCTATCACTCTGGAGAATCATCTGGTGGTCCTTGCAACAACAGCAAGTGATGCTGGAGCTTACTATGTGCAGGCTGTCAATGAGAGGAATGGAGAGAACAAGACGAGCCCATTCATTCATCTGAGCATAAGAAGTGAGTTTGGAAAGTCCAAACAATAATTCCGAAAGAATGACAGTTTTTCTGTAACTAATAACCACTGCCTTTTTTTCTTTTTTTTTTTTTTTTTTTTTTTGGTACTGGGGATCAAATTCAGGACCTTGCGCTTGCCAGGCACGTGCACACCACTGAGCTACATCCATGGCCCCTATAACCACTTTCTGCTTGGACATTGTGCAGTGAATCTTCTTTCTCTGGTATAATTGTTACAGTAATGTTGACCCAGTGTCAATAGTTTAAAGAGCTTCAGGGATGTTGCTTCCTTTCCCACACTTTGCAGAAAATGTGAATTTACCTGACTTTTAAAAATGCAAGTTCTTATTTGCTTCATGGGTTTAAAACATTTCTTTTAATATGTTTTTTTTGAACCGGGGATTGAACTCGGGTCCTTAATATGTATTGTTTTTAACAACAAAAAATTATTTGACTTTCATGGATAGTTTCCATGAACTTTGTTTGAGACTAGATTAGAAACATATTATTTTATTTTAATCTAACAATAACTTCCTTGAGGAAAAATACATACATATGTGAAGTTGTGTTAAAATGAGCAGTATTTAACCATAATCAGTTGATCGTTTTGCTGCATGATTTAACTAAAAGCCCAAGTCATGAGAAAATATACGTAAATTGCAGTGGTAGTGATGGTTTATTTATGGGGATTTCAGTTTGAGAATGCTAAATGTTTGGTCTTTGAAATCCTACCAGAGAATTTCTAGAGAAGGGAAACATATCCAAAAGCAAGAATGTTACGGGATTGCGAGTCTTCTCCAGGTTCTTAATGTCCTAAACAAAGAACTGAGCAGGACACCCAAGAATTGCAGTGGGATCCACGATTTATTTGATAGAGAAGAGACAAGATACTCAAGGTGAGAGCGGGCCAATGAGAATAGTCCACAACACTGAGGCATTTGGTGTTTAGAGTTTTAAATTGTAGGGCTGTATGTGGGATTGATGATTTGGTCTGAAGTATAATTCCTGCCAGTGAGTGGCTTGACTTAACCACTCCCTTGCACAATGGAGGTTTTGACTTTTTTATGGCCCTTGGAAGAACTGTCGTGGTATCCAAAGCCTATAGGGGCCTCAAATCTACATAGTTAATAACATGGTGGTTAAGGTTGGGGTCAGACAAGAGTTGCGGAAGACCACTGGATGCATGGTAGGGGATGAGTGGTATAATTGAGTGAAGTTACCTGGTTGCCTTTTCCCTTTGTGTTTGATGTTTTAACTCAAGGCGGATCTAATTCCAAAAGGCAGTTCCAAGGGAGACCCTCCCATTTTTTCCCAGCTGTTCCCTTTGTAACTTTATGTCTCATATCTCATCCAGAAAGCAGGCTCTAAGGTTGACCAGTTCTCTCTCCTTTCTCCAGTCTTTTCCTTACTACGTCTTGTCTCAAGAACACTGGACTGCATTAGATTGAAATATGCATAATAGAGGGTGTGTCATCAAACATTGGCAGCTTGATGCTTTGTGGAGTGAAATGCAGGTGTGCTGCTGTGAAAATACAGTTAGAACATAGTTATAGTAGATGCTAAATTTCAAAATAGTATGTTCACATCATATGAGAGTGAATTATATTGACTTGTATTCATAGTGAATTTCATCTTTTGGAAAATTTCTTCAGGAGATTATTTTCCCTTCAGGCAGTTTGTGAAGTGGGTGGGACAGAACAGTAGTGTTTTCTTCACGTGGTCCCTCAGGACAGTTGCCAGTAGAGTTAACAGAGTAAAGATTTGCACTGGAGTGTGTGAATTAACAGAGTGCACCTGAGCTCATCCTCATTTGTCCAACACATCCTATAAATAAGTGATCTGTACTGCTGTGCCATGCTGTCTGTCAGCAGCACCTTAATGCCCAGGGATTGAGTTCTGTTCTTCAGACTGGACAGGGCAGATTCAAGTTTAGAGAGAGCTTTTAATGCTTTGAAGAGTTATACCCCATGATGGGATGGGGAGCTCTCAACATCCAGAGCATGTTGCCTTGCTGCTTAAAAGACTGCCTGAATAACAAATAAGACTCATAGTAGAAATTAACAGAGATAACAAAGGATGGAAATTGTATGATCAAGTAGATTGTGATTATTTTTAATGATTTCCAAGTTTTACAACTAGAACCATTTATACTATTTAGCAAATCTGATTTGTACTCAGTTGTGATATATTGAGTAAAAACTGGAAGAATTCTGGGTCAGAAACAAAGGAATTAGCTTAGTCTGTTAGAATGGGAGTAATAAAATAATTCCACAAAAATTCTGGTTCACTATATATTAGCCTCACAAAGTTATAAAATAATTTGCACATTGTGGCTTCCTACAGGCTATCCTGATGGCCAGTAGAAAATAAAACTAGTACAGTGTTTCCAAATTGCCATATAAATGCAATACAATGGCATTGGATAATTGAAATATGTAAATTTCTTCAGTGATTTCAGTTTCTACCCCAACCAAAAAGTATATTGAAAGCTGCTCATAAATATTATAATTAACTGGCTACATTTTCTTGTATATTTTTATCTTTTCATTGGCACCAGGTAAAATGTGTAAAAGGTAAGGTACAATGAGTTTGATGATCTACACTTATTTTAAAGCTTATTAGAAAAATCTACATTTTGTTTCTGTATATACCCTTTGCTTTTTATCAAGACCACATACAATCTGAGAAGGAAGATGGTTGAGGAAACTGCCTTATTTTAATTCTTCAGAGAATCTTCCTGTGACATAGTGGAATTAGCTATATGTTAAATGTACTAATGAGGCATTTCCCAACTGAAAGTTCTGTTTTGAAAACCTCTAAAGATCAGAAGTCTTGATAAACCTGCAGAAGCACCCAGAATTTTGTGTTGAAATGTGGCTGCACTCTGTGTGCAGTACTTGCTGTTGGTACAGGATCATCTTGTGAGGCCAACACCTCCCTGATCTATTGTGAAATTAGATATTCTAAAGACCCTGGCACACTGTGGCAAGACATAGTGAGTCCATAGCCTTAGACAGCTTCCCCCCCCCCGAGGTAGGCTTTTGTAAAAACATCAAACAAGATTGATGAAAATTTTAAAAATCTTGCCAGCCAGCATTTCTAAAAAATCAAAAGATATTACAGCCAATTATCATTTAACGAAGATAAATTTTTTCCTTGGTGTCAGGAGAATAAAGTAGAGGACCTTTGTGTAGTTACTGTGATCAGGGTAGCAGGGTGCTGGAAATCAAATTCTTGGTGGAGTGTACTGTAATTAATTTTAAAGAGGAGCATCACTGGCTCTACCTCTCCTTTCCCGTACAAGGGCAGTACAGCCTCAGAGTGAGGTAGCAGCCAGAGAACCAGCTTTGTCTCAGAGCACCTGAGTGATGCACTGCCACTCTGCAATGGAAGAAAAGAAATGTCCAGTTCCAAGTACCCGAGAATTCAAAAGCTGCAGCACCTTTCCAGGTGCTGAATATTTTGGCTAGACTTGAGGTTTATGAAAAGCAAAAACATGAAGCGTGTACAGATAAAAGTAAATTTTTAAATTGTACAAATGCTAACGTGAAATGTAGTCCTGCTGTTCTGTGCTATTTAGGAGATGTGTTATTATGTCTTAACATCTCTCCCTGTTTTTGTGGTTAAGATAAATTGCAGCTAGGGTGGTGTAGTATCCCTGTCTGGAAGGAGCCGTCCCTGTACTCTCCATCCTCTGCTCAGAGCCAATGCTTGCTGCCTTCACAGGGGCAGATTCCCTTTGAAGTTCTAATGTGATGTGAAGCCAGCAGATGTTAAGGACATAGGTGGGACTGCTGAAGCATCATGTATGAATTTTTCATAGCTGGCTCCTGCAGCTCAAGTGCACAACAGAAAAAGAATGGTCTGAACTCACCCGAGAGTAGACATTTCCATTCTAAGGTCAAACCCAGGCAAGCTTTATAAACCTGTCAACCTGTTTTGGCTCTCACTTTGAAGATTTTACATTGAGTTAACTTTTCTGGTTCAGATCTTCTGAATTGAATTCATAGGTGAATGGAAGTTTCTTCTTTAAAAAAACTATCATTAGAAGATGAGAAGAATTCTGTACAATGATTAATCAATCATTGCTTAAATGCCATTGTACATATGTTAGACACATCATCAGTTCTGATCCAATATTCAAAATGTCCAGTGTAATGAGATTCTCTACTAGGGATGAAGCTTAGATTAAAAAAGAAATGACTGCCTCTCTCCTTCTTTCTTTTTTTACCTCTTTCATTTTAATGTCTCCTCTTCAAACAACATTTGTAGATAGGATATCATTTCAGCTGATCATCCTCAGGCTGACAAACTCTTGCTTTTAATTCTGAAGTCCACTTAACATTCTTTTGTCCTCTACAATGCTAATTTAACTGCAGACCGCATATATAGTTAGTAGTTGAAAATGGATTCCTGAGAATAATGTCTGCACAGTCATCCAAGAGGCCTGCCCTCTGAAATGTGGCTTTTGTGCATCTGGACAAAATTTTATCTTATTTTCCTATACCTTTCACATTAAAGGGAGAGAAGGAGGCAGGCAAAAGCCTTTTAAGTGGATCCTGACATACATGCACTGGATTTCTAATGCAATAGGAACTGTTTAAAATAGAGTCTTACTCAAAACTAGTCTGGGGATAGGCTACACAAGCTGCAGCTCTGTGGATTGCATGATAATTTACTGTCAGAACTTGCTGATACATCATTAGGAAGTCTATTTTATAGTACAGTCCTAAGTTTAATCATTTAGCTATGTTGGATCTGTTCAGTGAGTGTGTACAGAAGCATGAGGCAAGAGCTAGCCCCAACCTCCTGGAGCTGCTGATGGGCAGAGACAAGCCCAGACTCTGGTTTCCAGAGCTGTTCCATAGACACCCATCAAGAATTAAGCTCTGAGCATTGATCCAGTGTATGGTTACTTAGTTATTTAAGTTAGAAACATTAAGTATAATATAAAAGAGATGAACGTGAGTTAAACTGTGCTGTGTCTTGCTAATCATGAAAGT